AATCAATATTTTTTAAATAATATAATTGAAATAATGTTTTGAAAAAATCTTTTAATTATTAAAATATAAATTTTTTATGCTAATATTATTAATTATTTTGTTAATAAATATATATAACCAAAAAAATTTTGCTCAACAAATAGATTTGATTTGTATTAATTTCGAGAAATATGATTTTTACCTACATTATATTGTGCAAATTATTTATCTTACACACAAGATTTTCTGATTGCAACATCACACCGATATCCAACTCGTATATACTAAAACTAAAAAGTGTTTTAGTATTCTTAAGGCTTTGATATAATGGATAAAACATGCTTGCTTTATATATATATATATATATATATATATATTATAGTTGTGCTGTGCTTCCAGCTCAGGTGCACGAACCTGGTTATCTCTGGACCCATCTAAAAGGGCCCGGGGTGCACCGTAGCCTTGCCTTTTTATTATCTTCCCTTTTTTATATGCTTTTATTCTTTTCATTATGTATTATTTTCTCAAAATATTTTTTCCTGAATAGTTAATGGCTATTTTTCATTCTTTTTATAGATTCATAAACTAAAATTAAACTTTCTTCTAATATAAATTGTTTTAGCACCATCTTCTTGTTTGATTTTATTTTAAAAAATACTAATTGTATGTTTTTTATTGATCACAATTAAACATATTCATACGATGTATTTAAACTCAATTGTGAAATATAATATTTTATTAAATATTACATAATGTATATTAAATTAAATTAATTTATATAATTAATAGAAATTAAATTTTATTTTATAGCTATATTTTTTAAAAAATATTAAAAAATATTATATATATTTATTCATGGTAAAGCGCAGATACTATACAAGTATATACAAAAATTAGACTGTGTCTACTGTTCTTGAACTTTTGTTATAGTGGACAAAACAGTGTTATTTTATGTATTTTTGACTTGAAAAAATGTAGTTTTGTCAAAAAAAAAAAAATTATATATATATATATATATTTTAACATTCTGTATAGTTTTAATACACTTTGGTCCTTAGCGATCTAATTTTAAACAAAATAGTTCCTAATCTTAATTTTTGTTCAACAAGGTGCTTGTGTATTAATATGGTAAGGCTGTTCTTCCAATCCATGAGTGCAAGCCTGGTTGTCTCCAGGCCCGTCTCTGGGTGCACGTCCCAACCCAGCCTTTTTGCCCTTTTTTATGCTTTTATTTTTTTATTTATTATTTGCTCTTTTTTTTTCCTCAATAGTTAATGGTTATGCTAATTTTTTATACACTGATTAATTAAAATTAAATAGATTTAGCAGTCTCTTCTAATTTTATTTTATAAAAATAAATAATTGCATTTTTTTTATCAAAAACAAACATATTCGTAAGATATATTTAAATTCAATTATAAAATATAATTTTTATTAACCATTGCATAATACATATTAAATTAAATTTTTTTTATAATCAATGTGAATTAATTTTTGTTTTACACCAAATTTTTCTAAAAATTATTTAAAATATTAAGATATATTATATAAACTTATAAGGGCCAACGGGCAAGGACTCCACTAGTAAGTACTAGGTGATAAATACCAGTCCTAGTTAAACAAAAGATTAGAAGCCAATGAATTTGGATCATGAGATAGCGAGCTTAGGTAGTAAAGGTGGACCAAGGCCTGAGCTAATTATTACTGATCCGTCTCCCGTGGTCCGTTATATTATATTATTAAGGTGAGTTGTGGTATGATATGTGCATACTTATCGAGGACTTGAATTGTTATAATACAACGTGGCCATTTTATTAGAATGAAAACTAGTTGGACTTTGCGCCGCTGTGTTCGGATAGAATTAAATATATTGGTTTCAGTTTCATAACATATGTTTTGTTGTTAATTAATTAAAATATATTAAATTAAATATAAAATATTATATAATTTTATAACTTTTAATCAAAATTTTGTATCTCTTTATTTGTTTTTTAATAAATTTTATAGAGAAAAAACATAATTTGTTATTTTTATGCATTTATTCTTAAATGAAAATTCACAATAATCTAAATATAAGTTTAATAATTTTTTTTAAAAAAATATCTTAATATTTTTTTCATAATATGGCATTGAAGAAATAAAAAAAACATTTAATATAACAACTTGCATAAAAATTAACAAATGAATCTTTTTTATTCTTATTTAATATTGATGAGAATGGTTTTTTTTTTAATATGTACATATGATTTCTATATATTCATTTACAAAATAATGAATAATATTAATATAAAAAATTATATCTAAATTATTAAATATTTCTTTTAAAATATTATTTCAATTATTTTATTTAAAAGAGATTAATTTTAAAATATTAAAAAAATAATAGTAAATAATTGATGATATTTGTAAAGATACATAATTAATTTTTAATAAAATCAATGACCGTACTTATTGGATATGGTCATTGATTTTATGTGTGGCGTAAAATATTAAAATTAATTTTAATATTTTTCTATATATTATGATCGTACTTATCGTGTCGAATGTGTAGCTTACACACACATAGAGATATATTAAATAAAGTTGTAAAAATATATCAAAGTTAATACTTAATAGAGTGCAATAAAAAAATATAAAATTAATTTCAATAAAATTTGATTATATAAAAAATAAATATACAAAACAAGTGAATTTTATTTTAAAAATTTGATTAGAGAATAAACAAATAAAAACAACTACAAAAAAAAAAACTTATTTAAAAGTTCATACATAGAGATATGTGTATTTATTTTAAAATATAAAAATATATCATATATATTCTATAATTGTTATGGCGTGTGAAAAAACTAACAATTGGTTTTTTATAATTTTAATACTCGGTTCGATAATAATAATATATCATATACTTGCTGATTCCTATAACTTTCTTTCTTAGTTTTTATAATTCGTATCAGCACTGTGTGTATAATACATCGCTATTTATATATGTGAATTTGACTACCCTTTTACATCATATATTATTTTAGATAAATCTAGATTATTGATTTGGATTTTTTTATAAAAATATACTTATCAATTTAAAAGAATTATAATAATTAATTAACTTGGTAGAATGAAATCTTAACTATTAATTTCAAAATCAAAGATCTGAGTTTACCTAAAATGATAAGTTATCATCACATTACTCCTAATTTTAAAGAAATATTTTATACATAAAAATTTATCTAATTATGACATAATGAACCCTAACAAGTAGAATAACACTGTCAGTATTGCATAAAAATAAAAATAAAAATGGTCAGTATTGACATAAAAAAATAAACCCTTTTGAGTCATGTACTCTTCATCATTTCTCGATTATGCAAACTTTAAATCAAAACCAATAATTAAAAAGTTGAAAGTTTTTGTTTGTGACCCGTAATTTTTCAGATGGACCTTTGTGGCCCATGAATTAATTTTCTTGCTTGAGCCCATTATTTAAATGGGCCTGTTTGCGTTGGTTTCTTCTGCTGCCCTTAGTTTTATCGGCAAACAACTGCATTTTTGTAAGCCGCCGCCTCTTCACTGCCCTAAAAAACAGACAGAGGGGGAAAAAAGAGAGAGACAAAGAGACAGAGAAGCGGAAGGAAGGTGACAGAGAGAGAAGACAAGAAAGAGATGGAGAAGGGAAAAGATGCCACGGTAAGAATCTATTTTTAGTATTTGCGATAACTGTTTAGTATGAAGTTTGAATATATTGACTGCTCAAAGTGGATTTATTGATACAAAGCTTTATTAGAGGACGCTAAGATCTGGATGAATATATATGAATTGAGTTTGGTTTATAGTTCTTGATGAGTTTATTAGGACACATGATTCAGTAGCATTGCTTTGTGAAGATGTGTTTGAGAGTTGAAAATTTGTGAACCGTTGATGATCTTAAGTTCAAAGGATATAAATTATAAACTTCTATCAAGTAGTAAGAAGGGATAAGAAAAATCAAATTCTGGTTATCGTCATCGAGGTTGGCTGGCTGTAAATTGAAGATGATGACCAAATCCCTTGTGTTTAAATTGTTACTGTTTGGTCCTTAAAGCTTTCAATTAGGTCCCTAAGAGCTGAATCAGATTTGAAGATTAGTTCCTCATAATTGATTGAAATATAAATTGGATCCTAATGTGGCCATATGCTTTATGGATAGGGTCATGAACAAAAAGATTTGACAATTATGGATATCTTGATTAATTGAGGCAAGTAGAAATTCACGCATTCTAATTATTTTGTAAAGTATTATATTCTTCTAAATTAGGGTCAAACTCGTGATATGTTAAGAAGATGACAATATTCTGTGCGTGCATATGCATGTGATAAATTTGTTTTGACTGTTTTGGCCATGATTCTGGCGAGTAGCAGACTGTCGGCGTTTGTATGGATATGGATATGAATCTGAATGTAGTTTTCAGAAAAGCATTCTTTTAATCTAGGATTTACCCCTAGATAATGCTAGCGGTCATGGTCCAGGTTCTGGTTGTGACGTTGTTTTTGCTTGAAACATAATTTTAACTCTAATTTGTGAGCAACGATCAATTAAAGTAAAAAATGGATTATAACTAAAAGCTTCTGCTATAATTTCTATTAAATGAAAAGTTAAAAAAATAACTTAAATTAAGAAGGAAAAGTCCTACTAATAAGAAAGAAGGAATTATGCATCCATAACACTCATAGATTGTCACTACTTCCCAATTAAATTTGTGATAATTTCTCAAAAAGAAAAGAAAAAAAAACTTGCAAGAATTCTCTCTCTGTAATTTAGGATATAACTCAAAATAAATCCAATGTCGAATTTTACTCTTTAACATCAACTTGAATACAAAGGTATCTTATGTATTCACCTTACATTTGTCCTTACGTCTAAAACCATGATCACTTTGAAATCTCTCTACTTATATCCAATTTTCTTTTCTTTTAAAAAAATCAAAATCAAAATTTCTTAAGCAAATTGCTGTAGTCTCTAATTACACTCTTTTAAGGTTTTGTTGAACATGAAAATCATGGAGCAAGAAGGAGAAGTTTCTGAAGAATGGAAAGAAATTAAGTTTTTGAATGAAGAAGAGGAAACTGAGGTTTATGAGAGTGGAGTAGAGGCTGAAGAAGAAGACGACGATGAGGATGAGGATGACGACGACGACGATGATGACGACGATGAGGATGATGATGATGATGAGGATGAGGTGCAGGTATTACACTCTACTGGTGGGCTAGCGGTGCAGTCTGTGGACGACGATGACGAGGAGGATGAAGATGGAGAGGAGGAAGGTGAGGGCGGTGACGACGATGACGATGACGACGACGACGACGAGGATGAAGAGGAGGATGGTGAAGACGAGGTAACAGAAACAATAATTAAAATTTTTCCATTTTTTTGTTTGTTTGTTTATGTCATTTTGTGCTCAATTTTTAATTCGTTACATTTAGTTTTTAAGTGATTTTTGTGTTGTTTAGATCTGCTGTTTTTAAGTAAAAAATTATGGTTAATTGTCTATTCTCTTATTTCAATTTTATCTTGTTTTTTGCTTTCCCGGGATTTTCTATCAGATCTGTTTACTAGAGTCAATTTTGCTATATATATATATATATATATATATATATTGATTTATGGAGTTTTGGTTGGAAAATAGAAGAGAAAATCCTGGTTCATCTTGTCCTGTTAAAAGATTGCTGTATCCTAATTTTATTATCCATAATGCTCGGCAGTTTCACCAATTTTGCAGATCTTATGTTTTTCTCACAGATTTGTGGTGAATGCATATGTTTCATGCTCTCAAGTCATGTTAGTTGGCATATGGGTTTTCTCGATCTAGATGCCTAGAATTCATTGAATCATTATATTTTGATTAAGTACAACGAATTAGTTGATATTCCATTTAGTTTTGTGGAAACAGTTTTATAACATGTTCCAATTTCCGCCATTAAAGCCAGTTTAGGCCTTTGACTTGTATTATTCATAATTGAAGATGCAGTTTAGTCTTAATCCTAATCTAGAAGATATTGCTGAGTGTGTATTTATGTGCTTTCCAGGCTAGTTCTCTTTTTCCAAGATGTATGTGTGCATAATGACAGCCTCATGTAACCTGTCCATTAACAATTTTACCTACTGCATTTTTTTTCTTGGTAAATTTGAGTGAATTTAATAGGTTGTTTCCTTTTCAGTTTTCCTTTCTGTCAACTTCTCTCATGTATCATTTGTTAGCATGTGTTATTTAGTGGTGAACTGCATTGTTATATTGATATTCTTAAATACAGGAGGATATGGGCACTGAGTATCTCGTCCGGCCATTAGGTGGTGCTGAAGACGAGGAAGATGCCAGTGATTTTGAACCAGTGGAGAATGGTGATGATGAAGACATTGATGAGGAGGACGATGAAGATGATGCTGAGCCTGCAGGAAAGATTGAGGCCCCACCAAAGCGGAAGCGATCGGATAAAGACGACTCGGATGATGATGGTGGTGGTGGGGAGGATGATGAGAGACCATCCAAGCGATAGGGCAGAACCCCTTGGTGGTCTACTGACCATTTAACATGTAGGTCAATCTCTCTATCCCTCTCTTTCTTAAACCCATCTCATTGTAGAAAGAAGGATAACATGCTATTGGATAATGGTTTTTCATCTGTATTATCATGTTTTAGGATTATATGTTTTATTTGGTGATGCACAGTTATGTGGGGTTTGCAAGAACTATCTAAATCAGATGGTTTAGATTTGTGTAAGCTATGATCTTAGGGGTTAGTCTTTGGAGTACTTGTTAACTTTTAGGTTTATCATTAGACAAGTTTATGCTCCTTTGCTTTATGCATTATTATCTATGGAATGGTTGCTGGATCATATAATTTTTATACCTTGATGATGGGTTCTTGCAGCTTTTTATCATTCTCCTATCTTGTTGAATACTCTCTTAAATTCATTGGGGGAAATGAAGGGATGATTTTGACATCGATGGTTGTTTTCTATTGCACATATTTTTAGGGGGAGTTTGATGGGGAGAGAGAGAGAGAGAGAGAGAGAGAGAGAGATGGACCTGCCTGTATTAATGTTCATATGAGGGACTGGCCTATATTAATGATGTTCATAATGCTAGGGACCAACTTGACCGATTGATTCAAAATCCCATAGAGGCATTGGGTTTCCCGGCTTGGATCCATATCACCGTTTTGCACCGATAAGATTAGCCCTCCTGGCAGTGTTTTGCTTTTACAAAGGTTGTGACGTGACATCGTGCATGGATATAATGACAAAATTGACATGGGAATAAATAACGAATACTTTATAAAATTGAAAAAACTCCCAAAACACGAAATAAGCAATTGCAATCACTGACCTGATAGCTACGTGGAGACTAAAGAGTCGTTCTAGAAAAAAATGGCTATACGGAGGGCGATGGTTCCAATGAGTTCACACGATGAGCTTTGCCGTGGAAGTTTTATATGTTGATCTTTGTGTATAAAATGCCTAGATCTTGTAATTTAATTTCTGTAAACTACATGGTTAAAGTATTAGCATATATGGCATTACTTTTTATTCTTTTTGTTAATCATTTTTTTTAAAATTGTGAACAGATGGGATTTTCTCGGCGAGAAAATGGCGTGAGATAAGGCTTTCTGATTCGAGAACCATGTCAAAACGTATCATCTATTTCCTTGACGAGATTGTTTCGTGTCGCATATGCACCCACGCCAGCTTATCATAATATGAGATGATGCGTGACTATTTTGCGGCACAACACTCACTCTTCGTTGGTTTCCTTGCCTAAATCATGAAGATTCGGGAGTTTCACCCAACGTCCAGTCACGAGTCATCCACTCAACCTTCATTAATGAGAAAAAAGAGAGCAAAAAAGTTATCAAGGGGGGGAAAAAGCAAAAAAGAAAAGGTAAATTAGGTGGACTATATTATTAAAAGGAAAATAATATTTTTCTAATCAGAATTTTAACAAAGAATTCTTTATTCCAAAAAAAGAAGGAAAAATTAAAATTGTAATTAAAACCGGATAAAATATAAAATAAGTTGTCCAGAAATTACAAGTTTGAAAAGAATTTGAATTTTCACTTAGATAAAAGGAGGAATGGATTTAAATGGCTTCATTCCACGGTATTTTTAAGAGTACTTGATAGAAAAGGTGCTTCGGACATAATGTGTTTTTCAAGTAAAGTGTCTTTGGACTTTATTTCCTTTGGGCTGTTCTCAGCTTGTTGCTCGTTTTGTTTTGGACCAGTTGAAAAGTTAACCATCAGCAAAGCACACTCAAAAAACTGGGGTGGTGTGGCGGTGTAGCCGATGCTGGGATAATTTTTCTAAAACCAGCAGCCTATCAACGGGAATGGCCCATCACAGCTTCTGTGGACAACTTTTTATAAAGCTTCATTATCATTTACCATTGAAGATTGCAGCCGTCACCATGTTGATATTTCCTTATCATGTTTATTTGCTGGTTCAAATTTTAAAAATATTTATCATTTATTTGTTGCAAATTCATTTATGTTGTTATAGCCAGTGCAAGTACGTTATTTTTTGTTATTCGTTAAATTGACAGTTGTCTAATAGGCAAACTAGTTATATTCCTAAGAGTTATACACTATATATCGATATGGCTTTTTTGGGTAATTGATACATATTTTTTTTATGTCTCTACTCTTTGTTTGAAACTGACGGATAAAGGAATGTTATGTTATTTTGTTGACTAATTGCGATATAAATGTTTACTATTTATATGTTTTTACTGTTTTTCTAAATTATTTGAGAATAGAAAACTCAATTTGGAAATCCTATATTTGCATCAAATTGGCAAGTTGGATTTTATATAAATAATTTTACAAATTGATTGTTATAGTGAACCAATTCAATTCAACTATCCTCAACGTATATTAAAATTTACTTAGTTAGAAAATATTAACCATGAGCTACATAATTTTGACTATGATGTTTAGCTTTAATTTTTTAAAAGAATAAAAAATAAAATAAACTAAAAGATTTGCAAGTCTCTCTCTCTCTCACACACAGATATATATATATATATATATATATATATATATATATATATATATATATATATATTCAAATCTGTTATTTGGAGACAGTTTATGAGAGGTTCGCATGACTACAAACATGATTTTCTAGCAAGTCAAAATTTGGGTGGAACTTTTTAGTCAAAATTTGAGTGGAGCATGGATTTTTTTAAAAAAATTAAAATTGGTTGGATCAAATTGCCTAGATACGACGAATACAAAGTTGAATTTGCAAATTTATTTACACACAGTATAACTATTAAAATTCAGAGACTTAAAATGGGGAATTTTCAAATTATTTTAACCATATCAACTTTCATATGATTATTAATCAATAAATGTAACTCAATTTAAGTGCATAAATTATTGAGTATATGATATCCGCAAGAGTGCTGGACTTTTTTTCTTTCATCATATCCTCTTATGGTTGTCATAGAAAATCTTGGTATCCCTACCGGTGTTGGTAATCAAGTCGTCATGTCCACAATTCTTTATTATTGTAAATGTACGCCTAACTGGGAAAACAGAATTATCAATTCGGCCAAGTTCTTTGGTGTTCTGTTAGATAATTGCTGCCATCCTCTGATGTTGTTAACGACTCAGCTCTTGTATACATAATAAACATATATAATATTATCTATGACAAGCCAATAGACGTATCAACAGCATTCTAATTGCATAATTTGGAAGTAGCAATTTTCTTAGAAAACATTAAAAAAAAAACAATATTTTATTATCACGTACCTTCAGTAGAAAGTCACTCCCAAAGAATTGATTTTGGATATTTACCAATTCAACACTTGTAAAATGAGTAGAACAACATGGAACAAATTGCAAACCAAGTGTAGCTGTAAGCTGTCCACTGTTGTGTAAATCTATTTTCTTCAAGAGCTCTCAGTTCGTAATTGTAAGCAAAGCAAGTAAGAGCCTGAATTCGAAAGGCCCAACTTCAAAATAAAGGGTGCAATTGCCTGAGATGGACAATAGCCCTGCGTAGAAAGGACGGTCCACGTGGAGTTCACACCATCAGATAGATAATGTCGGTGACATCTACACGCTTTCCAAAATCTGCCGACAGCACCAGTCATAACTGTAGCCTGAGCTCCGCCGTATAGTAGAATACCCCAACCAAGTAGCTATACATTCCTCTGGCCCGAGCTCCGCCGTATGTTAGCACACCCTAACCAATGAGTCCATGCCCAAGTAAATTTCAGGTCACTTAGTTGCTTTATTTAGAGAATTCAAGGTTAATATGGATAGAAGATAACTTTTATCATCAAATAAGGAAAAAAATAAAAAAACTACTTGATTGAAAGAATAAAATGGACTATAAGGTCGTATTAATGCCTAATTTATTGCATTTTTTCGGAAAAATGCCAGTTTTGCCAAAAAAAAATTTCTTTACGAGAGATTTTACTAATAGAATTTGTCGAATTCATTAGTTCAACGAAAAAGGTTTTTTTAAAAATATAATTGTAACTGAAATTACGCTTTCTGTCGGGGTACATGATAAATGACAGTACTTAGCGCACTAAAAAAAGAAGACCGTTCTTAGCTTGCTAGAGTCAAACTAGCTAGCACAACACAGAACAAGAGTTTGATTCTGCGTACGCAATCCAGTTTTTGCCATCCAAATCCAGCATAATTTTGTCTTAAATTGGATTTGGTCAGCGTGGGGGCTGTTAACCAATATTTTTTCTTCTAGAAACTTCATTGGTCATTTCGCTTCAGTAAAACGATATACTGATTGCTTAAAATTTTCAACACCATAATTGTACCAAACAATTGCATGCAATATTGTTCACGGTTTAATATTTTTTTTAATCTCCTACGATAAAATGTACAAACAAAACATTTGAAAACTAAAATATATTACTACATGGGATAACCCAAAAAAGAGAACACTAGTATGAGAAACGCGTTGAAAAGAATAACAAAAAAGAAGTAAAAGAGAGGGAAAAGATGAACCAAAGGACCATGAGGGTGACGCGTCATTATCTATAAGCCTGCAAATCTAATCAAACAAAATTAGTAATTAATTGCTGCTATGATGACGCAATAAACAAACAACGTTCATGATACCTTGCGACACTGGAGTATCTATTCCTACAGATCCACACCCTTGGATCAAGATCAGACGACAATCAAAGCCCAAAGCCCAAAGCCCAAAGCCGAAGTGTGTTTAAAAATTAGTAGTAAAATAAAAGAGCAGTATAGTTATGTCGCCAGCATGGCACTTTCATAAAAACACAGATCTCTCAACTAACCGCTCTCTTTTCTCTCCTCTTTGTGTGCTTTCTTTCGCCTTCTATACCATTTTATTTACACTCTAACAAAAAACATAACTTCTGCAGCAATCGTATACTATCACACATACAGACAGAGAGACAGGGCTAGATTTTGGGGCGAATCTGGGGTTTCGTTTCATTCCTTAGCTAAATTTCAATCGGATCTGCAATCTAATCTACATTGACATGCATCATTGATTTTGCTCAACTTACTCAACCCAAATTCCAACAATGCAGATCTTATTTCCTGTTACTCCCGGTCAGGTGCGTGGTCTTTTGAGCTCATTCTACTTTGGATCTTGGCCTGATATTACCAGATTTATGCTTGATTTAGCGGTTTTTTGTACTGATTTTTTTATTGTATAATTATAAGGAATGATGTGGTAGGTTGTTTATTGAATTGGTGCAGTGTTCTTTTTTGCTTGGAATCGTACCTGTATTTGCTGCTTGGATTTACGCCGAGTATTTGGAGTACAAAACAAATAACACCTTAGCCAAAGCGTAAGTTAACTGTTACTGTTTTAATGAATTAGATTATAAAAAAAAATAAAGAAAAAGCTATTATAAATCTAGTAAACTTTTATCTCATTTATTTTTCTCAATTCGAGTTGTTGGTTTGCTAGTAGGCATTCTGATATAGGATTGGTTGAATTGGGGAATGGCGCGGTTAAAGAAGATGATAGAGCTGTTTTATTAGAGGGAGGAGGTATTCAGTCTGCTTCTCCCAAAGCTCGGGGTTCAGGTTCCGCATTTCCAATTTTCAGGTACCCCAAATGCACCGATTACTTTCTTGAAAGTTTTCAATATTGTCAAGTTTTATCATTTTTCCCGCTTAAGTTGCATTATTGCTCGGGTTGTTTCTATATTTAGGTTCCTTATGATGGAAGAGCAATTCTTGATTGATAACCGGTTGACGCTTAGAGCTATGTAAGTAAATTGTTTCGTTGGATTCAAATTATGAATAAACATTTAAATTGGTTTGTCTTAGCAAATTTAAATGTGACTCCTTTATTCTTTGCAGATCGGAATTTGGTTTCTTTATGGCGTACTTTTACATATGTGACCGTACTGATATCCTTGCTTCATCTAAGAAGGTGCCACTTCTTACTTTGTCTCAACACTTTGTGTTATGTAATCTTTATTTTGGGGGTTTGTAAGATTTCAGTGAAGCATGTGGTCAACAAAAGCTACACTTTGCATTCATTTGCAAAAATCTGCAGTTGCAACCTACAAAAAATGGAATAACAGATTCAGCATGTAGTTATGTGATTAAAACTAGTAAAAGTTGTTATTTTGGTTTTACTATTAGTGATTACGTTTTAACTTCACTATTATCTGTCTCTGCAGAGTTACAATCGAGATCTTTTCTTGTTTCTCTACTTCCTTCTCATCATAGTTTCAGCAGTAACTTCTTTCACAATACATCATGATAAGTCACCGTTCTCTGGGAAACCTATACTTTATTTGAATAGGCATCAAACCGAGGAGTGGAAAGGCTGGATGCAGGTTTGTTACTCTTTCAGGCAACTTGGATAGACCTTTCAAATTGTCCATTGAGTTTCCTTAATGCATAGAAGATTTGTCAACCAATACTCTATAAGTATTCTTGGTCATTTGGCTTTGACCACCTATGCCGGACATAATTGCTGAGAATGGCAAAATCATCTGTTGAAGCATACTCCAACCATTTACAGATCGTCTTTCCTTCTTTGACATGTCACGTGTTTCCTAAGAATAACACATTCTGAAGTCCTGTGATGCTTGTGTTATATGTTTTTTGGGTTTTTGATATGCGCTCTTTCTGCTTGCATGCAATGAGGTATAGTCTCACACATTTTTCTGCTGCTTTACAGGTATTATTTTTAATGTACCACTACTTTGCTGCGGCAGAAATATACAATGCAATTCGTGTGTTTATTGCTGCATATGTGTGGATGACTGGATTCGGCAACTTCTCATATTATTATGTCCGCAAAGATTTCAGTATTGCTAGGTTTGCACAGGTATCTTTTTCCCATAAAAGCTTAGAACATAGTTTCTCCTAGTTTGCTACATATAAAATTGCTTCCAGTTCTCAGTTTTTTTTTTTTTTTTTTAAGCAGATGATGTGGCGGCTTAATTTCCTGGTGCTATTCTGCTGTGTTGTACTGAACAATAGTTACATGCTATACTATATTTGCCCCATGCACACTCTTTTCACCCTTATGGTCTATTCGGCACTTGTTATTTATAACAAGTACAATGAGATTGGATCAGTCATTGCTGCAAAAATTATTGCCTGCTTCGCTGTAGTAATTCTCATGTGGGAAATTCCTGGAGTATTTGAAGTGGTTTGGAGCCCGTTTACTTTCCTTTTCGGTTGGTATCTTGCCAAACATCCGTTTCTCTTGTTAAAGCGTTGGGGTTTCAATGATCCTAATCCCTCGGAGTATTGCAGGTTATACTGATCCTGCAAAACCAGATTTGCCCCGCTTGCACGAGTGGCATTTTCGATCTGGCCTTGATCGTTATATCTGGATAATTGGAATGATTTATGCCTACTATCATCCAACGGTAAGTTCTGAAGTAACCATATCATTCCTGGAATTTTTGTATGAGCTTATGGCTTTTGAGAGTTGAGGTGGAAATGCAAATAGCAGTACTTTGAGTGAGTGGCCAAATAATTAGTGTTTGTTATCTTAGGTGGAAGGATGGATGGAGAAACTAGAGGAGACAGAAGCGAAGCACAGAATACCAATCAAAACAGCCATTGCAACGATATCTCTGGCGGTATTATAGCCTTTTTGACTGTTGTTGCTGTTGATAATGGTGGCTGTGGCAGTGATGTTTCTAACAGATTTTGTGAAATTCCTAGGTGGGATATATGTGGTACGAGTACATATACAAGCTGGACAGAATTACTTACAACAAATACCATCCTTATACCTCGTGGATTCCCATAACGTATGCATTGCCCCCTCAAATGTGCTTGCTAATTGATTGTTCAGAAAATTTTGCTTATTACTTGTTGTTTTCTGGTTGATCAGTGTGTACATTTGTTTGAGAAATGTCACCCAGCAATTCCGGTGCTACAGTTTGACCCTATTTGCGTAAGTGACCTATGTGTTTATTCATATATTTGCTGATTTCTTCTTCTCCCCGAAATTGAAGTTAAACCATTTGCTGGAGGCACCAATTGGAGAAAATCTTAGGGAATTCCGTTTCCTGTGAGTTTGGATCTATTGTTGTGAGAATTTTTAGTGATTTTATTCCTTTGTTTACTAGATGGCTAGGGAAAATCACTCTGGAGACATACATTTCTCAAATCCATATCTGGTTAAGGTATGCTATGTGTATGTATTTTGTTATGTTTTTGTGGATGCTCACACTGGTTTCCTAATTTTGGTTTTTGACAAACTTGCAGATCAGGCATTCCAGATGGCCAACCAAAATTGTTACTTTCTCTAATTCCAGATTACCCAATGTTGAACTTTATGCTTACCACTTCCATATATGTTGCAGTAAGCATCAATCTACTGCTATGAAATCTCAAAGTTATTTGGTACAATCAAGCACTCAAGCACTGTTATTTTATTTGTAGGTTTCTTACAGACTCTTTAATTTGACAAATACATTGAAAACGGCATTTGTGCCCAGTAAAGACAGTAAGCGCCTGACAAACAACATAATTACAGCAGCAGCGGTTTCAAGTGTTCTATATTTGCTGTCTTTCGTATTCTTAAAAGTCCCTCAGATGCTGGTAAGAGTTGCTCTTTTAAATTCCTAAATGGGGCTTGTTGCTTAGAAACAAGTAAATGTGATTCTTGTGCTTTCCAGCACTGAAAAGCACTCTAGTATAAGATAATGGGAAAGAGGATGTGAAATGCTGGGCACAAATTGCATCAATTACGGTGGAGCATGTGCTTACCATCAACCTGATGGTTGAAATGACTAGCTGGTTTTGCACTTGAAACTTTGAAAATAAAATGGTGACAATGTACATCCATTGACTGCTGCGTTTGTGCTTCCTGTGGGAATACTAGTTGAATATTATTGTAACTATAGAACAGTAATGATTTACGGTGCCATTTAGTGTGCACAATTTGCTGATACTCTTTACATTTACAGGTCTGAGAGGAAGCTGCAAGATTGTGCATCTGTTGTCCGTGAATAGATGGGAAGAATAGAGTACCATTGCTAGATTTTTTTGCCTCTATAAAAGAACACGAATGGTGAAATGGATTCATTCCAATTTGTCACTGGGGAGATTCGATGGAAGGATCAATACCCGTGGTCGTCTTAGGTCTTGTCACATCTATTGTATAGGAAATACTATCATTTTGTCATGTTTTCGCCCATTTTTTTTACAGCAATAGTAAAGTAATTACATCCAGAATGTAAAATTCACCGATAAAAGCAATTTCCCTATGCTTCAACGAGTAGTTTGACATTATATTGATTAGTGTCGAAAAGCATATTGCACTTCACTTTTATTAGCTTCACGCTTATCCTATAATTGGATAACGGACCATCTCACCGTATCAGTCGGTACGTGGGAATTTAGAGGTGAGCAAAACCTAACCGAACTGAACTGTCAGGCTGTCAGCATTTGGTTCATTTGGTTTGGTTTGTTTGGTTTTTTGTTTAATCTGTTCAGTAGTTCAATTTTCATTTTGGTTTGATCTGAAAACCGAACAATTGATTCTTTTTTCTCTTTCATTTTTTATTTTCAAAAAATTTCAAATTTCAAATTAGAATATTTTATTTGAAAAAAAATTGAAAACTGTACAACCAAACTGAAATATTTCATTTGTTCATAAATTTAGTTTGGCTTGGTTTGGTTTTTGAAAAAACCGAATTGGATAAATTGAAAACCTAACTGAACTAAAATTTACTTGCTCCTTGCCCATCTTCAGTGAATCGTCAAATCTGCCTCTCTTCGAAAAATTGCCAAATGAGATGATTGAGCTTTCTGTTGGAATTCCTCCATGTTTTGCACAATCTCACTATCTGCACTGATGGAGCCCAAAATACCAGCGCTACCTTAGGAAACCAATTGCCTCGCATGAATTTTATGACATTAGTGGACAAAGCCTCGAAGGTCTATACAGCTTTTCCGGCACTACCATCCGCAAAAAGCAAAGCACGCTTCTCAGCAATTTTCGCAGGACAATAAAAACTATCAATCTGCAAGCTTAAAATGCATATTCAGGTAGAAGATTATTGCCACTAAATCCAACCAGTAAACATAAAGGAGCTTTCATACAAAATTTAATGAGCAAAGCTTTCCCTAGTGTAGTCAAGCTTAAACTAAGGGTTTCTTGAACCAAAACACAATTGAAACGAAGACTAACTCTGAACAAATAATTCTTGTAATTGTTTGTAATGGATCCAATACGTTAAAGCCATATTCGAGCTCAGTGGTGTTGTAGATTAGCAGTTGCAAGCAGCAGCAACAGAGCTTCCATTCCATTCAAGACACAGCAGCAACCATGTCTCCTCCTCAGAATATGTGCACGATGTCATAAGCAAATCTATTTACATTAAGGAAAGTAGCATAATAAAAAATTGATAAATCTATTTATGCAATATTCTTGGAACCAGATGCTTTCCAGTATCAGTGCCTAGAAGCACCATAGTTCTGCCACTGAAATCAACACACGGAACTAGAATTTGACCAGTTTATTAAGAAACAAGAGAAAAATAGGAAAAAGAGTCAGATATTCAATTTCAAATGAGAAATGCAGGATGCTTTAAGAGTGTTTTAATCATAACCACTGCCCCCGCAGGCAACCTATATAGGGTCCAAAATCATCAATCAAGCAGGTTTAGAGGCCATTTAATCCCCCAAGCACCAACTACATGTTCGGTGAGGAATCCTATGTTCCATCTGTTAAAACTTTACAGAGTGTAAGATGACTACATTTATAAGACACATTTTGGTTCCACTCAGAAACAGGGAGGTGGGGGGGGGGGAGGGAGATGCTTTTAATTTAAGATAGAAAGGTATTTATTTATTTTTAAAAAGACTAACACTTTCAAAGTTTTTCAAAATCACAAATGCCAATAGAGCATAGTTACCTTCATAACGGTCTCAATCATGTATCCACAAATAGAACTACCACAACAATTGTTCTAAGTTACTTGTATGTATTTTTTAATTGCGTATATATATAATTTTGAACATTTTACCTTGTTATATGCTATTCATGATATGAAATTTGAGCACAAGTTTTTCAATGGAACTTTTAGATTTACAAGCACAAAAATAACATTGAACTAATAAATTTTCTTTTCACTATCAGAATGTAATTTGAAGTTTTATTAGCTAATTCAGATTTAGATACTAGAATTCCTGTAATAAGTTCATGTCCTTATAGTTATTAGAATTCAAATGGCACAAGTTTCACAGAACACCGTACTGTTCCATACCAAACCCTTCAATATGTTTTGTTTTGCAGCATAGCCCATCAGTCAAGCACAACACAGCACAGCAGCCAAAGCACAGTGCATCACATCACAAAACAACAAGGCGAAACAGGTCCTCAATCAATTAGTCCAGGGGAAATGACAAGCCCCTGATAATGCTTATTTTGAGGAAAATCATGTAATCCTTGATCTGATAAAATGACTAAACACAATTGATAATTGAAATTAAAGTTTTTAAAGTATTTTAGCAGTGAAATATCTTAATTAATGCAAAGGATACGTCCAGAACAGCACGAACGACTGCATAAATCATAAAAACACCGTCAGTCTACCACTTATCTCATATCTGAATGACGGTAAACAAATAAAAGCAGAAAAAATTTACTTCTCAAAGTGTACTAGATGCAAGCAAGAGAAAAGGAATGCTATGAAATAGTGGAATCTTTGGGCAAAGCGAAATCAGAAATGATAAAAAAGAATATGAGTGGATAAATATCAGAGAAACATACCATAAGCCCACCCAAAAAGCCATCAAGTACAACCCGGTTCCAGGAGTCAAAGTATGCATGAATGGAAAACTTTGCCTTAGCTATGAGAGCAATTGAAGTGATTGCCATAATAAGAAAATAAAGGACAAATCCAGCCAAGCCAGTGAATCCCAAAATTCCAGCAATTACACCACCAATGATAGACAAAAATGTTCGACTGCACAAGAAAAAAATAAAGTTCAGCTGCTGTAATAAACACACAACAGACCCCAAACTACAGTTTATACCCTGTAACAAATTGAATGCTGCTCTATAATTCTTCCCATAAAGGTTTCAATACCAGGTATTTGGGAACCAAATAACTGGTTCAACCTCCCCAAATCAATTCCGAAATACACCTTCCTCATTCTTTATCATTTAACTATTGTTATACCATTATCTTCCATGCTCAACGAATTTGTTACCATTAAAGATTTTTCTTTAGAAAATATCAACTCCACTTTCTACTCGTTTCTTTCGAAGCAGTATCTACTGGTTTTGCTACAGGTCACACATAACACATCACCTGCAAATCATGCACACAGCCAGAATTCCCACAATAATTATAAACCTAACTTCTAACTTGGTTACAACCTTCAGGGCCACTAATATTCGCATATTCACACACAACACAATAGCATAAAATTCACTATAATGGCTTCATAACTCTTAAAGTTATTGAAACAAACCTGTAATATATAACTTTCATGTTACTTTGCAAATTTTCAGCTCTGAATGTTTGCAAATCATTCACAGAATCACTTGATTTCTTCTCAGACTCATTGTGAGCAGCCATTGCTTCTACCTTTAGATAATCAGATAAATCTGAAAACAGAAAAGCAACCCAAAAGAGAGGAATTTTGCATTAACATGAATTACACATCCTCAATTCTTCATTAACAAAGAAAAGGGTCCTCAAATAATCAAGAGACCCTTCGAAGGTTTAATTGAAAAAACAAAATTTGGAGATCAAAACAAAAGAATACGAATTATGTTGTTTATAAAACCAAAGTAACAACATTGGACTGTGTCAGAAATCGAAACCGAAGAATCGCTGACAAATTTAAATCTAAGCAGGCATATATAAAGAGTTTATCATTATTGATAGATCTGTGAATTAAAATCCATCTAAAACAAAATTCAAATCATAAGAAAAGATAGATAGAGAGAGAGAGAGAGTTAGACAGAGGAGAATTTGAACCTGTCTTTCGCACTGTTACTTCAGTAAACTTTCTTCTTGTCTTCGATATGTTGTTTCTTCAAAATCTCCGAAGCCCAGTTTATATCTTTGTTAATTTTTCCTCTCATCCTTCATATATTCCATATTTTCAAATATATCCTAATGATAATAAAGTTTAACTTCAAGTCCCTTTTTAGTTTTTATTTCTCCAAACGACACCGCTTTTGGCACTGTCAGAATTGCATAACAGTACAAGATCAGCAAATGCTTCTCCCTCGCTCATCTGGCTCAAGGCTTAACAATCCTCCCTTCTCTGTTTGGCTATTGCACATTGAGGTATGCTTTTTTCCTCCAATTTTTTCATAGATTTTTAAGTTTTTCTTGTTTTGAATCAATAATCTGTCTTTTCTTCTTGATTTGTTAACTTCCTTTTGAGTTAAGTTTCTACTATGTATTTGAAAGAAGGATGTTCTTTATTGTTAAAAAAGCAAAAACCTTTAGTTCCTTTTGTACTAAACACAAAAAACCCATTTCAAAATGAACAAAAAGGTCAAAATTTTCTCAAAGAATGTGATGTGTTAAACAAGTTAAAGAATGAACCCAATATTCTATTAGCTTTAGATTACTTCAAGTCAATAGCCAATTCGAATTCCTTCAAACACACCCCATTAACATACTCAACCATGATCAAAAGACTTGGTTATGAGCGCGATATAGATGGTATTCAATACCTTTTGCAGCAAATGAAGTTGGAGGGAATTAGTTGTAGTGAAGATTTGTTTGTTGTTGTGATTAATGCTTATCGGCGAGTGGGGTTGGCTGAACAAGCATTGAAAACTTTTTATAGGATTGGCGAATTTGGTTGCAAACCGACTGTTAAGATTTATAATCATGTTTTAGATGCCTTGCTTAGCGAAAATAAGTTTCGAATGATTAATGGGATATATAATAATATGAAGAGAGATGGGATTGAACTGAATGTTTATACTTATAACATGCTTTTGAAGGCATTGTGTAAGAACAATAGGGTGGATGCAGCCAGGAAATTACTAGTGGAAATGTCATATAAAGGGTGCATTCCTGATGCAGTTAGTTATGCGACTGTGGTATCTTCTATGTGTAGGCTTGGAAAAGTGGAGGAGGCTAGGGAGCTTTCGATGCGGATTAAATCATTTGTGCCTGTTTATAATGCTTTGATTAATGGGTTTTGTAGAGAGCGTAAAATGGAAGAGGTGTTTGAGTTATTAAATGAAATGGTTGTTGAGGGGATTGATCCTAACGTTATTACTTACTCTACGGTTATTAATACACTTTCAGAGATGGGAAATGTTGAATTGGCTCTTGCTGTGCTGGCAAAGATGTTTGTCAGAGGTTGTAGTCCTAACGTTCACACTTTTACTTCCTTAGTAAAAGGATATTTCATGGGAGGCAGATTGTGTGAAGCACTGGATTTATGGAATCAAATGATTCAAGAAGGCTTAGAGCCCAACACTGTTGCATATAACACTCTGATACATGGTCTCTGCAGCTATGGGAAAATGGTAGAAGCTGTATCTGTTTCTCAAAAAATGGAGAGAAATGGGGTCTTCCCAAATGAGACCACATATAGTACTCTCATTGATGGCTTTGCAAAGGCTAGTAACTTGGTTGGTGCATCTGAGATATGGAACAAGATGATAACCAATGGTTGCCTTCCTAATGTTGTGGTGTATACTTGTATGGTGGATGTACTCTGCAGGAATTCTATGTTCAACCACGCTCATCATCTTATAGAGAATATGGTCAATGAAAATTGTCCTCCAAATACAATTACATGCAATACATTTATCAAAGGTTTATGTTGCAGTGGAAAAGTAGAGTGGGCAATGACAGTGCTCGATCAAATGGGGCAATATGGGTGTTCACCTAATGTCACAACATATAACGAACTGTTGGATGGTCTTTTCAATGCAAACAGAATCAGAGAAGCTCTTCAGATAGTTGGAAAGATGGAAGAAATGGAAATCAAGTCAAATTTAGTGACTTATAACACAATTTTGTCTGGATTTTGTCGTGCTGGAATGTTTAAAGATGCCTTGCAGCTTATTGGGAAAATGCTGGTGGGAGGTACCAAGCCTGATGCCATCACATACAACACAGTAATTTATGCATACTGTAAGCAAGGCGAGGTAAAGACTGCCATCCAGCTTGTAGAGAGATTAAGTAACAGAGGAGAGGGGTATCCAGACATATTTACATACACTAGTCTTTTGTGGGGTGTCTGTAATTGGATTGGGGTAGATGAAGCCATCGTTTATCTTGATAAGATGATAAATGAAGGCATTTGCCCCAATAGTGCCACATGGAATGCATTAGTTCGTGGCTTGTTTAATAAATTGGGTCATCTGGGGCCGATTCACATTGTGGATGACATCCTGGCTAATGGTTAAGTTACATGATCACGACGACGAGGATGCTGATAAATTTTGTGAATCCATAGGGGGGCTCAGACACCCACGGCCATGGCAGAGCATCTGAGCATGTTCTTGTCCTTCCAACCTTACCTTACGATTGAAATTAACGTAGAGGATGGGCATTCCCATGACATCTGGGTTTGTGTCTTGCATTGTATATCACTTGAATACAGTAGCAACTGTTGAGCAACCTTTAGCACTTACGCTCCTGGAGAAGACAAAGAGGACAACTGCTTGTATTTTTCTGTCATCAGGTGCTTGTCAAATAACAATGAAGAACTCTTTAGTACTTGTTATGCAATGGCATGGTTGCTAACCTGATGCTTGCTGCTATAGGTTACAACTTACAACACCGCCTAAGGAATCTTTGTGTCAAAGCAGACATCAAACTTTAGCCCACGATGCGGATGCAGTAGCAGCATCAAGGCCAGTGATTGAGGGCTGCTCGTACAATAGAACTTGAGATCTCTTGCGTGCTGGCTAGTAAAATGGATTTTTAAATTCATTAATTGATCTATGTGGGAGCCACAACTTTTTATCTAATAGCAATAGGTCATTGCGTTGTGTAATTTTGCTTGATATTTTGCACTCTGCATCTGATCGCATTCAGGCGTTATTCGTTGGGCTGTGGAGAGAAAAATTGCACAATCGTAATGCATCTTCTTTATGTTCCTGAAGAGGCCATCATTTTATCTTTTACTCGTTTATTTTTTTCGTTTCATGTTATATATATATATATACATATATATATATTGTGAGAGTTATTTCAAAGACACACATGCACAGAAAGGAAAAGCATAAATCCAAATACATTTTCAATGAAAGCTAATTTTATTATGGTGATAGCAAGAACTTGAGGTCTGTGTATTGAAATACAATGGAAAATACAGAACCACTCGCTATAATTTCTGCAAGCCAAGTGGTAAGCTTCAGCAATGTTGTAGGTGGGATTTAGCAATTCGGCCATCAGCCCCATTTGGGTAGAAACCTCCAGGAGTACTTTCATTACCGCTACCATACACAACTCTCAGTATCTCCTCTGGTGTCCTTGCGTATCCAATTGAGTACTCATCTCCAGCAAGGACATTGCCTCCAATTTGACCCTCAGCGCCCATCTTTTTGGGAACAATAAGGCCTTCATCTTTTATGCCTTCACGCCCTAGCTTGTTTCTTAGATCTGAAATGCGATTTGTGAACTCCGCCACAGTTATCCCATACGGGTGCAACTTGATTAATGCATACTCATATAACAATCCTCGGATGACTGCATCTTGACCAGACTCCACAGCCAAAAGGCCTGCAACGAGCTGAACGCCCACACAAAAACACGTACGCTTTTAACAATCACGAACTTAAAAATATTAGGATGGAGAGTTTGAGAGAGTGAATCTGTTTGAGTTATGGAGTTAGAGCCATATCATTACCCTTTTGGAAGCTGCAGCCTGGAGTTTTGGGTTTGCTCCAACATATCCTGTCAGACCAACATAAGGGATGACATAGGATGCAATGAGATAATGAAGTGAAGAGGCATAAGGGTCAAAAGGTGGAGACAATGGTCTCCCAAAAGCGGCATCCATGGTTTTTGCAAATGATTTTGTGCTCAAATCCAGCAATGGCCTTGGAAATCCCTGCACAGTATTCTTGATTGCTCTGCATCATAAGAATACAGTCACATTAGAAGTCTCAAATAAAAGGGACTCGAGTGATTGGATCAAATACCACGCCAAAGATGTGAAAAGATATCAAACCTCAAGTGTCCCACTTCTTGCCATGCGAACTGCTTGATGACATCTCTAGTGTAAGGGTCAAGATTGGCCTTCCTAGCACCCAAGGGTTTCGGCCCTCCCCTTGTTAAATTTGGAGCAAACTTATCCAGTCCTTGACCCATTGATCCATACAAAAAGAACTCAGCCTCAAGGTATTCTAAATTTAAAGGAAATTCAAGAAGATCAATGTCTGATTGTGGGATTGGAGAGTCTCTCCATTCATCTACAATGAGTCTAGAAGAATAAGAAGTGGGTACTAGGTGGAGAATTATAGAAGCAATAATAGTGGCTATAGTGGTAGAAGTAGATAGTTCTGCCATGGTTCTTGTTTTGTTGAGCTTGATTTTCTTTGCTAGTGATGCAAGTTATGGTCTTTATAAATTCGCATCTGCGGCTTAGAATTTGTACAAGTGTTATGCTAGATGGCAAATGAATTTACTCGGTCAAAAGATTGCACTGACACGTGGGGTTTGATGGCTACAAGTTACGACGGTTACTAACTTAAGAGGAAGGTCAGAGGAGGAATGGCGTTTTTGTAGCACAAAATACTGTTAGTCTTTGCATGGTGAGGTGTCTATTCATATGGATTCATGGAAAGATCTTTCTCTACAAAAACTTGTCTTGTGCTCAGGTGTTATCGTCACCCCAGTTGGAACTCAATAAGAGATTGCGACAAAGAATTTGCAAGAATTCAAGAAGAGACTGCTATGCAAGATAAGGCTAAGACTGCCAACCAGCTTGTAGGTAGAATAACTGTAGGAAGAGAGTAGCTGGTAGCTAGCAGCCTAGCATCCAAACATATTTCACACTCTAGCCTTTTGTGGATGATCATGATCTGTAATTGGGTTTGGGTAAAAGAAGCTGCATGTTGTCTATCAAGGATCTCCAATGGGTTGTGTTGTTTTCATTTATTTTCCAACTATACGATGACCTTTTCTTCACATTTCGTATCTCAGTATTTATTAGTGGCGTTTGTGACTATAGGGAGCATATATAATGACGTAAACAAGTGTGACCTTACAAGTCCAGTTACATCATTAATTTTCAGAAACACATTAGGTTAGTGCCAAAGCGAAAGATTTGAGGAATATTGTCTCCTGACAGTCTTGGGTTGAACTTCTGATTTTGTCCTAACTGAAACCTCTAAGGCCATGCATGATTGTTCTGGCACTTCTTTTGCAATGTTTATATATGCTTTGCAATCTGATACTAATCAATGTGGAAAACGTTTGGTTTTTGGAAGTACTGTACAAACACTACATATTGCACATATAGATATAGTGGACAACATCATCATGTGTAAAGCTAATTTTTTTAATTTTAATTTTATTATTATTGTGGCAGCATCATGAAGTCCAGCCCAGATGCTTCTATAATTACTAATGCTAGCTAGGCTTTAGGCAGCTGATTGCAGATGAGATTTAGCAATGCGACCGTCAGCTCCCTTTGGGTAGAAACCTCCAGGAATACTTTCATTACCACTACCATACACAACTCTCAGGATCTCCTCTGGTGTCCTTGCATATCCAAGGGAGAACTCATCTCCAGCAAGAACGTTGCCTCCAATTCTTCCCTCAGCGCCCAACCATTTAGGAACGACAAGGCCTTCATCTTTTATACCTGCATGTCCTAGCCTGTTCCTTAGGACTGAAATGCGATTTGTGAACTCTGCTACCGTCATACCATATGGATCCACCTTGGTCATGGCATGCTCATAGAGCAAAGCTCGGATTACAGCATCTTGGCCAGACTCCACAGCCAAAAGGCCAGCAACAAGCTGAATACACAAACACAGACACCGAGTAAACTCATAATTTATATGGCGGAAATACGTGGGGGTAAAGTGTTGCGTTAGGGAATCATACGTACCCTCTTGGAAGCATTAGCCTGGAGATTGGGATTTGCCCCAACATATCCTGTGAGTCCAACATACGGAATGACATAGGATGCAATGAGGAAGTGAAGTGAAGAGGCATAAGGGTCAAAAGGTGGAGACAATGATCTCCCAAAAGCAGCATCCATGGTTTTTGCAAATGATTTTGGACTCAAATCCAGCAATGGCCTTGGGAATCCCTGCACGGTGTTCTTGATAGCTCTGCATCATTAGCATACAGTCACCATTTGTAACAACTACTAAACCAAAGATGTGAAAAAATTGATATCAAACCTCAAGTGTCCCACTTCTTGCCATGCAAACTGCTTGATGACATCTCTAGTGAAAGGGTCAAGATTAGCCACCCTAGCACCTAAGGGTGTTGGTCCTCCCATGGTTAAGTTTGGAGCAAACTTGTCCAATCCTTGACCTGAAGATCCATACAGAAAGAACTCAGCCTCAAGGTACTCTAAATTTAAAGGAAATTCAAGAAGATCAATGTCTGATTGTGGGATTGGAGAGTGTCTAAATTTCTCTGTAATGAATGAAGAAGAATAAGAAGTTGGAACTAAAAGGAGGATTAGAGAAGCAAGAACAGTGGCTGTGGTGGTAGAAGTAGATGGTGTCATGGTTCTTGCTCTGTTGAGCTGATTTTCTTTGCTAGCTAGAGATGCTAGTCTTACTCTTATATAGGCTCAGATTCTGAACAAGTGTATGATAGATGGAATAAAATGAGTGCAAGTCAAAAGATTGAATTGACAGGTGGAATTTGATGACTGCATGCAGCAGCTAATTACTACTAAATTTATTCCACGTAAATGGAACCATTACTTCAAGTCACGAGTAACTCATTTCTTTATTACAAAATGTAAGTAAAATTAACACTTTCATTTACATAACTAAAATGCAAAAAAACGTAATCACAGTACGTGCCTTCCGTCTTCAAGTAGTCAGGCTAGAAAAATTTGGAATCATGAGTAAAATATATTCATTTCGAATTAGTTTCATAAATTATATCAATTGTTCGTCGATGGGATAATCCACCCATCCAATAGCTAATAATATTTGGAAAAATTATATGAAATGAATAGTTCAAGATGAATAATATCAGTGGTAAAATATAATTGTAGGAGGAGAAAATGATCACTATTCCCTTGTCTATTTGTATCGTACCAATCATTTCTTTCGGAGGCTAAGCTCACATGTTTCAGATTTCCTTTCACAAACTTGTAAATGCAATTGGTATGAAACCATGAGTATGTTTTCTTCGCAATCATACTTTATGTGCTGCACATAGAAGTGACTCAAGAAACAAGAAATTGAATAATATATAGTCGGTGCTCTTTGCAATTTGCTAGTGATATGTTAAAACTCACCAATATCGTGTGCTTAAGTAACTCTTAATACCTTTTTTTTTTTTTGAATTTTTCGGTATTCTAAGATCAAAAATTCATACCAATATCTTATTATTCAATTAAATATATAAGATGAATAAAACTATTTAATTTTTTTTAACGTATACAAAAATTCAAAATCCAAACTATTTATTTAAATAATTAATGTTTTTTTACTCAAATCAACCTTGTTAGATAATATATTTTTAAACCTTAACAATGGAACTGATTTAATCAATCTATTAATTTCCCATAATGGTTCCTATAAATTTATCAATTACTCTGATCTGTATTTTATCTAAACATGTTTCCGTGTTGAATCTCCATCTGGAAAATAAAATCTTTAATCCAGGTTTTTTTTTTTAAGGAATAATTACATCCTCATTTGATTCTTAAGCTTGTCGATTTATTTTATTTCTTTTTTTAAAAAAACAAATTATAGAAAAGCTTGTCAAATGTGACGTGAAGTTCTTCCAGTCGGAGGAAATTTAGGTGGGCTTATTTGAAAAACCAGGTTTCTATTCTGGAAGATCCTAGCTTGATGATAACATAGCTTAGGTCGCCTCAACATGACTCTCATGCTCTTTTCCATACATTTGTGTGCTTTTTTTTTTTTTTTTTTTTGGTTATAAGCTATGTAATAGAGACAACCCTGCACCAATTGTCATCATTCTTATTCCTTAATTTGAATTTGAAACCTAAGAGAAGCCTTAATTAAGTAGTATAACGGTGAGAAATCTTAATTAAATAGTATAATTGTCAAAAAAAATCATCTTGATCCCAAAAAATTAAAATATTCCATAAAATTTTAAAAAGATTTTATATTATTCTCTAACATCTTCATAAATGAAGTCTTTTAACTTTGATTTCCATAAACTCACCACTACTTTATATAAAAGAGAGCTTCAAACTTACTTAAAAAAAAATTTGAGTTTGAAACTTAAATAAATACACTACTGCCTGCTGTGTGAAAATCTTTTAAGCAACTCATTGCTTCCTTAAAAGCAGAAAAAAACAAAAAGATGCATTATGTAGAAGAAAAAATAAAGATAATGAAATTTAAATTTATAATTTTTTGATCACGAAATCTTTAATACTATATTAAAATATTATTTCAATTCAAATTTATAAATGAAATTTCAGAAATAATTTTATATCTTTTTTCTAACAATAGCCATTAAACCATCCCTTCAGGAATATTTTTTCGGCGCCCCCCTTAAACGCACTTTGATTTCTTCTTGTCTATATTTGCGAAGTCTTGGAAGATGACATTTCTTTTGTCTTTGACTGCAATCGTACGTGAATGGATTCTTCCGTATAAAACATATATTTATTTTGCCTCGAAGAGTTGATCTTTTTTTTAACTTTTTATATTATTGAAAAACATATCAATATTTTTTATTTATATTTTTTAAAATTATTAGCTATTAAATCTAACCATGTATTATATAGAATCAATATTAATTTTAAAAAAAAATCTATTCAAAATTAAGATAGTAAATAAAAAAATTATTAAGTTAATTAAAAATCAAATTTAAAATAATTATAAAAAATAACATACTAATGGAAATATTTTACTCTTAAAATTTCGACATGCAGTAAAATCTTGATAAAAACCAATAATTTTTATATATAACAAAAGACTTTTTGAAATTTTTATGTCAAATGTATTTGTATATATAAAGAAAAAAATATATAAAAAATATAGGTTTTTTGTTAACGAAGAACATGAAAATAAGAAAGGATTGATTTTCTTTATCAAGTAGGAATATTTTAAAAAATACATTATTTAAAATTTTGACCAGATAAATAACAATATAAATAAATAAATAAATATAATTTTAAAATTAGGCTTCTCTCGTGCAATGTAAGAGGTCATTTAAAGCTCTCCAACAGTATTATTTGATGCCCTCTGTATATCATCTTTTCCTGCATAAGAAACAACAAATTCACGAGGAGGAAAGGGGGCTTGTGATGTCATTTTCCGAACTTACACTGGAAATTGGTATGCATTCAACTTTTTGTTGCTATAAGTGGTTATTTATGGTACTTTGGATCCTGTAAATGATGCTAGTATCCAACTGTTATCACTACACCTAACTTTGTTTCCAACATCTTTCTACAGAAGCACGTGAAAGATTGCCTAGTGACGGAGCCTAAATTATTGAACAAAGAGTTTGGACTTTTGGATGTATCTGGTGAACAGATGTAACCAAGCTAAACAAGACAGAGAATATATATATATATTCATTCATGAAAAGGGGTGGAATAAAATCTGATCATGAAATGATATGGATATATGCTATATTATATTATATTATATCACTTTTACACACCAAACGACCGTCTGAATACTGTTATTTTGTCATGACTAAGATTTGGGGTCCGATATGGAAGTTGAAGGAAGAAGCCCATCCATAGTAACCTGGATTGTATTTTAAGAGGGAAGGCCATCTATCAAGTAGACCATAGCTTTATGGATATTTTTCTTGCAAAAAAAAATAATAATAATAATAATTAAAAAATTATTTGCATGATTGATGAATAAGATCAAGAAATTCATACAGGGGAAGCAGTAGTACATTGCTCTTTCTAACCATAGCTTTGGCTTTCATATAGGATTTCACTCGAAGCGTATGCTGAGGCTTGGTTTTGTGTGGATTGTTTGGGACCAAATCGAAGCACAAGATAGCCTTAGTATTTGCTGCCTAGCAAAGTTGAAAAATGTTGCAGACAATTTTAAACATGCTGCATATCTCATTTATCATTTACTTAAAAGTTATGATTGAACTGGAGATGTAACCTATCTTGCCTTGCAAGACTAAATAAGCGACAGTGTCATTGACATTGAGAGCAACTTTTGGTAAGATTTTCATGCAGTCAGGTGATAAAAAGAATAAACAAGAGTCGGAGTGGCTCCACCATACATCATCATGATTTGATTAAGCAAAGCATTTAGAGAATCCATACATTCATTAAGAAATGGATTCTAATTGGCTCACGATATTATACACAGTAAAAACTACATTAAACTGATCTGAATGTTTCTCAACCTGAAAAACAAAGGTAAAATAAACTAGCTACCAACTTTCTCAGGTATCCGTTTTTTCCCTGAGCTACTTGCACCAGCCAATTTACCATGTCTATCCATGTTGCCGCTGTCATCATCTTCTTCATTGCTGTTCAGGGAAATAACACCATTTTCCATTTCATCATCATAGCCCTCCATCTCAGCCTCGGTCTCAGCATCCCAATCCTCCTCATCTGCTTCGTTGTCATCATCATCATAATCTAAACCATCCTCTTCATCATAGTCATCCATACCTCCACGCAAAGTGTGGAACTCAGGTGGGGGTGGGCAATCCTCTGTGATTGCTTCATCCCTCTTTATCACGAGGTGCCGAATGACTCTTTCATCTTTGTCTAACATGTCCTTGAAGCCATTTATCCATCTGGCTTCCAACTCAAAATTCATCAAGATATAGTGAGCATTTTTGGCTTTCTGTATCTTGTATGCTAACCTTCGCATGCCCCAATCATTGAATCTCCATATCCTGCCTTTCTTCTCCCTCACAAAATCTGTAACAAGTGGTTACTAGGTATAAGAAACTGCAGAGCCACTTTTATGTGAAACCTCAATAAAAAAATTGCCAATAAAACTCACTGCAGCAGATGAGCAGCTTCAGCAATGACAAGCAATATGCATGTGAATGTGCATTCCTAAGAAGTGAAGCTTCCCGTTCCGATAACAAGATGTTGGAAATACAGAATGAAAGCTTAAAGCTATTTACTTAAGACAGAATAGATGCAGCATTTGTTCCTTTAGACATGAAATGTATAAAAAAAACTACATAAAAAAACCAAACGTAATTATACCTCAGATAGCTCTTAGTAAAGGTTTAACTATGCATGCTGTATCAGGTCATATGTTGTTCATGATGATAGGAGATAACAGATGAGGACCTAAAGCATGACAAATTAATAGCAATCAGATACACAACCTAAACAAGCTTACAGAAAATATTATAAAGAGAAGTCATTCTTCTGGATTTTTCTCAACGTGTTTCCAGGAATTTCCTAGCTAACAGCATCACCAGCTAGCACTTCACCCACTACATAATGGCACAAAAACGACCTCAGAAATTGATTTAAGTGATGCTTTTCAAGCATCAAGAACTAGTGCCAGGTTATATTTTGCATGACACAGAGGATAGGGACCTGCTAACTGGATACAGGTTGAGATGAGAAGGATAACAACTAACCAGTGGAAAAGTGAGACAAATCAAAGAATAGGCCAAAGAAAAGTCAGGGTAACACGAGAGCTAAAAAGAGTGAACAGTAGTGATTCAAGAATCAATAATTGCTTGAACGGATGAGCAAAATACACATGATAATGGAAAATCCCATGGGGGATTCCTCTTAAGTCTACTTCAGATAAGTCAAAAGAATCCTGAGCCAACTGCAGACTAGAGACTACCTCAATGATTGTTGACTTAACCTCTGTCATAAGTGTCTGTAGCATGCTATAAATAGTATGGAAACTAGGATTCCAGAAAAGGTTTCCTTGCAACTACACTATTTGTAGGATAATTGTCCTAGTATGGCTCACAATAACAGAATGGTCACTTGCTAAGTCAGCATGCTGCATAATGGCTGCAGTCTGAGTGCATGTGACACGTTCAAGTATGAATCAATCAATGCACTTTAGAAGCTTGAGAACTACAAGTAGTCAGAAGACTGACGAGCAATGAACTCCAGCCTCCAACATGCAGAGAATTTGACCACACCACAAGCAAGAGGATGGGAAACTAGGACCTTTTATAGCATCGAGTTGCACCACTAGGCAGCTCACTGACCAACTTGGTAAACCATAGGCTCCTCCCAGACTTAATTTTTTTGTGGGGTGTTGCCATAAGCGTGACAAAGTGGCAATGTCATGTTCTTGTATGCGGTAGAGGACCCATAAATAAATTCCATTATCAACGATAACAAAGTGAAACCACTGTGTATGCCAATGGGAATTCAAAATGTATTGATCTTGAGAAAGAGAGTCACCTTGAACTTTCTCATTAACACTGCCAACCTCTTCATCATGCTTCTCATGGATCAGATAAACCACTTCATAATGGCGCACTGCACAAACAACAGAGACAATTAAAAACTAAATATTCAACTACAAAGGTGAATCCAACTAGTTAACCAAAAGTGCAAAAGCTAAAGTGTAAGATGAAAGTTAACCAAGGGAATTGAAAATCACTACAACCAGAAATCATTTTCCTTCTCTTTTTTCCTCTCTAACAAGCAACAATGGGGACTAAGAAGCAATTAGAAGGAGGTAAACTTACTTCGCTCCACTTTCAATTGACTCTGCAGATCAAGGTTCAAAAATTCAAAGAGCTTCTCTGCAAATTAAAAAACAACGATTTCATTTCAATCTCCGTAAAACAAACTATCTCTCTCTTTCTCTAAACAAAGAGGTAAGAAAACAAGCAAGCAAAATACATTAAATGAAATTAGAGCCATATTCAATAACCTTCTTCAGCATCAGCAAACTCAGGCAAAACTCTACCATCGTCCTGCACTTTCTTCTGCAATTCAAAAATAAATCTCCACATCTTAAAACCAAAGCCAAAAATTCAATCAAAACTAACAACGTATGCAACTTATCCATTAAAGAAAGAACAAAAAAAAAAAAAAAAAAAACCCAAACTTTGAACTAAAACATTACAGATCACCAAACAAACTAAAACAGAAAAACAACCAAACCCCACAAAAACCCATCAAGAATTTACAAAAATCACAAAAGAAGCAAAATTTAAAGAGAAAATGAACAGATTAAGAAATGGGGTTGTATAACAAATGACCTCTTTAAGCAAAACAGCTTCAGGGAAAGGTCCAACGGCTTCGTCTGGTTTGGCGACAAAGCTATGAGTGTCTTGTTTATTCTTCTTGTTGCGATTGCTTTTGTTGCTCTTTTTGGCTTCAACTACCACTGATTTTCTTAATCCCAGTGAAGGGAATAATGACCTTGAAGAAAAAGAACGACTACCATTTGCAGTAAACAAGCTTGTATTTTGGTTACTATTGAGAAACAGTATCTGTTTTGGAGTTGGATAAGTTGCTATGCTGCGTAAAAGCGTCTCCATTTTTGAAGCGAAAAGTTAGAGAAGTACCGTAGTATGAGGAATAAAATCTGATATACATACTGGGCAAGGTAATATCGTGATTTTCGATGATTTTGAAGGTTATAGCTGTAACTTTAAAGGTGATAACAAAAACAATGCATGCACACCCAAAAATGCAAGCATTGATCCTCTAAAAATTTACTGCAATTCAAGTATCATAAATGTTCGTTTTAAGATTTCTGATCAAAGAACGGAAAAAAATTGAAGTTAAAGGACTTTAATTTAATGCATTCTTATCAGAATATGTATATATATATATATATATATGTATATATCAGAGATATTTGGCATAGCTTAACACAGAAAGAAAAGATATAAAACTTCAACAAATATTAGCTTCTTCTTCTTTTTTTAAGGGTGAACTATTTTGATAGTTAATATTTTAATATGGTTTACTCCAATTTAAACTTCTTTTTTTTTAAAATACCTTTTCTTTATTTATCCCTCTATTAAAGTTGGTTAACAGCACCCACGAAAGCCTGTTTTCTGGAACAAAACGTTGTAGAAATTTTTCTCACAATTGCAGAGGGTTTTGAAGCAAGCTTAAAGAGCCTTTTAACATCAGTAAGAGAAGCAGCCAACTGAATGTCATCTGAAAGAGGCGACTTAAAAACTGTGTTGAGTGTCACTGCCATATTTGCGGGCAATCTATTCGTTTGAGGTAGATTCCCCACATCCGATTCCAAACATAGAAAACTCGAGTTAAGCATCGCAGCAAAATACGAATTTTGAAGCAGGCTTAAAACCATTTTTACTCATGATAGTAAAGACCACAGACCTCTCTTCAACCCATTTCCTCAGGCCTTCATTCAAATTAGTAAATATCACAGACCTCTCTTGGAGTTGAAGCCTATAAGCTCTCCTCACAGGGTCACAAAATGATTACAAGACTTGAGGGGTATCAAGGATGTAAGAAAACCTAACTTTCACCATTGTTTCCTCCCCTTTTTCTTCCTTTTGTTGCCACTGCTACTACCACCTCCGCCACTCTTTGGAGCATTTCCAGCCTTGGCTGATGGGCTCTCAGTCGAGGTACCAGCACTGTAGCTGTCAAACACGCCTGATTGCACTGCATTCTGTAACCATTCAAAGAATTCTTCTTCTGTCATGGTTTCCTCCATATTAGGTGTTGGCATCCGACCACTTCTTTGTCCTGAACTTGATCCCTTGCCGGTATTGTGTTTGGAGGCTAAACTGGTGTTTACATGAAAACTTGGCTTGTGACTGTTGGCTGGACATCTCATTCCCTACACCAAATTCAACATCATACATATTCAATCCCAGTCCCTATATGAGAGGATGTACAAGTAAGCATATCCTGAATTATTCACTTGTCTGTTGGAGATAATTACACTTTTGCGGAACCATTGTTTTATATGTCCTTGTCAGATAACCTCACTGAGCATGTTCAAGATATTGGGAGAAATTATCAAAATAGCAAAAGTTTCAGTTACCAGAAGGAAATAATTTACCTGGCAAATATACCAGTCAGTAGCATCATATATCTTACTATCTGCACAAACATATGCAGTGGGAGCATCAACCTACAGAAAATAACTTCACATGAGCTCCAATGTAATGAACAAAACCATCATTTCTACAACATAATACTAGAGAATTTTCTATTTTGCTTGTTCCCAAACAACATTCTGACAAATTGCACATACCTTCTGCAGTAATCCAAAAAGGAAGGGTTGTGAAGACTGCTCAACCCATCCATCTCCATCTTTTGCTTGATGAAATTCTTTGCATTCCTTCAAAGCAAAACTCCCAAAATTTTATTTAAAAAAAAAAAAAAAAAGGGCACCATCTTCTCATTTGGAAGGACCAAGTCTGGAACTATGGTAATCAGCTGAATACTGACTTTTGTAAACAAATGAGAATCAAGAAAAGAAATTTTGGAAGAAAAAGTAAAAACCTGGCACCATCTTGCTTGAGATTTTGATTTCTTGGTATGCACCCAGAGATGAAAGTAGCCACACCTTTTGCAAGCTATTCGCCTTGATTCTCCAAAAGGGTCATCCCCGTCAGCCTCTGAATGTGCAAACCCAGAGGCAAAGAAACCATGCTCTCCATTCTGGTCAATCAATCACATTATAAGCCTAGGTAATTTGAAAGGATTGGCATAATTCAGAAAAAGGGACATTACTGCCCAAGACCAAGTGAAGGGCTGAGCAGAGATTATCTAGTGGCAATAAATAGGACCAAACAGATGAAGGGTATAATGCTCTAAAACATTTCAGACAGTTAGTTCATTGTGCTTAATAGGGAACAAGGAAGTGTCAAATGAATGACGGTTTCGCCAAAGGTGTCATCTGCAGCTCTTTTCAACACAGGTTTCACAGTCAATAAGAACTCCAAAACCATGGACTGAATTTACTCCCTACCAATGACATTAAAGGAAGACCAATGGCCAAAAGTTACACAAGTCCAAATAAAAAATATTTGATTTTTGACTTTTGAAACACACAGCAATGCTTTGAAGCAAAACAAACTAACAAACAATGGAGTTGCCACGGAAATATGCCACTGAGACAGTGCCAACACAAAGGAGAAGCTTAGGAGAGTTCAGCTATCAAGTGTAGCAAATTAGAAATAGAAAAAAAAAAAAAAAAAAAAAAAGGGACAGAAATTATGTATGCAAACCTTTTGTGAAGTGCTTTGAAACCTACGGAAATAGTTCAGCAAGTCTTCCTTTCTTAATTCATCATCATATGCTTTTCGCTTCAAGGAATCAAGTAACACCTAAAAAGACATTATAACAACAACATAGATTAAGCATCAAATGCTGGCAGCTTTTATTTCATGCAATAAACCAGGTCAAGCAAACAAATTTACCTCGTACGCATTTTGAAGTTTCTTAAAAGCCTCTGCAGCCTTCTCATTGCCCATGTTCTTGTCAGGATGAACCAGCATAGCCTGATAACCAATTCAAAAGGACGTAGGTGATAAATAAAAAGAATTTTCGGTTTTCTCTTATCATTTGATAACAAGATGTTATCATGCATATTTAAAAGTAAATTAATGACTTGATGGCTCCAGAATATGTCTTTAAACTTCATAAACGAAAATCTAATTTGGTGTAATTAAAGGGTTGAGCAGGTGGAGAATACCAATCATTAGAGAGCTACAAAATACAGATGTTAATTCACTGACAACACATATAGTAAAGCTTTTAAAACTTGCAACGGAATGGCATAATAGCTATCATGAGGCATGTGAGCTGACAAATAATGTCATTACCTTCTTCCTATACTCTCTCTTCAGAACAGAAACATCCACATTCTCATGCCGGGAAAAACCCAACACAGAGTAGTGATCAGCACAGCTCAATAACCGAACAACTTCTTCTTCAGAAGTCAACTCTGAATCAGTCCCACTGGTTGAAGGTATTCCCGGGCCACGATCTGCTGATAAACCCGGTCCAGTTTCAAAGGAGTCCCCATTGAAGAAGCCCGGACGACCTTCCATTCCCGCAGAATGTTCAGAGGTTCTATCAGATCTTCTCTGTCGGTTAATGTTATTCTTTAGGAAGTATATCAGAATATCACTTGAGATAAATGATAGATTCAAAGCCAAAAGTAAACCAAGCCATCCAACATATGACCACACACAGTATGTGGAATATACGGTGGTGATCAAGAGCGTGAGACGTTCCTGGTTGAACATGAATGCCAAGCCTGGATGATAATGGAAATAAAATTCAATATGCTTTGACAAATATATCCAGACAATGAGGTGCTAAATGTTGAGAAAAGGCAAAAGGAATCACCGCTGATGATAACAACAAATACTGTTGTCCAGAAGCTTCCATAGAACCACAGGAAAACCAATCCAGAAAGGGCAACTATCAAAAGTCCAAGGATTAGACCTATGAAAACCCCCACAAATGCAGCTATGGCCTGAGTAATTCAACATTTGAAACAGATCACAACCATGCATGTGAATGACAGTAAACTGAAAAAAAGACAATAGAAAACATCTTGAGGACATAAAAGGTAGCAAGAAAGTAGAACAAGGCAACATTCAGCAACAAACTAATGCAAAATTCCTTGCAATGACAACTTTACAAAGGGAATATGACAGTAGACTAAGAATTTAAGTCTTTTAAAAATATATCAGAAAGAAATTAACAACTTCACAAATTTAACAGCAATGAACTGGTTTGGTTTTAAAAAGAACGGGTATAAAGATTCACAGGAAGGATTCTAACAAGTGTATATGAAGTAAAAACTAGGCTTACCAGCACAATAAGAAATTTGGATATTCCAACCATGGCAATAACTGACAGAATACTACACCATATGACTGAAAAAAAGGATGTTGTCCCCAACCGTAGAAAGGAATCCATGCCTCTGAGAGTACAGTCCAACCAAACCATTGACAGAAGAAGCAAAATGTTCCCAAATTGCAAGAGCCATTTTAAAACAACAGGATATGCTTTCGCAATGTTCAATTTAACATATTCACGAGCAGTATATATATTGGTTTTTAGAGAATCAAAAAGTGGCCCCTGCCTCTCCAGCCACTCCCCTGCAACCTTCAACATGGACAAAGCTGATGCCCTCAAGTTTCCAATCACCATATTGCTTGAAAGCTCCAAATTTTGCATCATATTTTTCATACGCAAACCATTCAGCAAGGGGCCGAATCCACTTTTTGTATGCTCTGGACCACTTTCAATGCCAGGTAATTTTCCATTTTCGTCTGTTACACTGGGAGTTTCCACCGAAGGACTGCTGCAGTCCATTGAGTTAATCCTAGAAGCAGCAGATTCCTCAACATCCAGCACTTCATCTATCTCTTGATTCTCTTTTCTCTGAAAATTTCCAGAATTTTTCTTAATATCATCCTCACCTTTAACATGGGCTGTTTTCCTCGCTCTATCTGTCGGACTACTTGGCTGATTGCCTTTCGGGAGTTCATCTCCAGGGTAAACCTTCGTTTCACTTCCTTTTCCCCATCCATTCTTATCTGAATCTGAAACCTTTTTCTTGTGATTTGATGAATGGCGCTCCACCCCATTCCTTTGTTGAGTACCTTTCCGTGCCATGGTACTTTATGTATAAAGCAGTTGTTAGATAGGAAGTTGGCTCAAATCATTCTAATTCCATCAAATAAGGCATAACATTCTAGATTCCTCAAACGAGAAGATCATAACCTGTCACCAAGGAACATGAAAAACTAAGTCCGAGAAAATTTTCCACATTGCTTAATAAAAGAAAAGGCAACAAAAACTTCTAGCAAGTATCTCAACACCGAAAGATTAGTTGATGCCAAAACCAAACATCACAAAATTTCTCAGCACTTACAGTACTTATACATCAATGAAATGCACATGCAAAAGAATCATTTATACATCAATGAAAGCTCTATGGAGCGAGTGATAAGACTGCAGATCCAAATTTTCAACTTTTTAAATGTTCTTCCCCGAACTACAATGAAAACTTCTACTCAAACAGGTGAAAGTGGTTGCAGCTTCGTGTCTCATGAAAGGAAACCCCAATTGACCTTAGAAACAGGGAAACAGAACCACAACAGGCAACAGAAACCCTTCGAGGTTAATAAGAAAACTGGTAAAAACAATAACCTTGCACATGGTGACATAGGCTAATATCACCAACAAAATGAGCTCTAATAACAGCAATGGTAAGATGCCTCACAGAGGGGAAATTGAAATTAACACAACCCCCCCCCCCCCCCCAAAAAAAAAAAAAAAAAAAAAAAAAAATCCAACCCAAGAATTTCAAGATGCAAGCATCGTCAAAAACCTTGAGGAAAAAACTAGAATTCAAAGAACAGGCAATTTGGTGACTTTAACTGAAAATCAGGGGAAAAAATGAACACCCACTTGAGAAGCAAACCCACAAATTTAACAAAAGCAAGAGAAAATCCAGTAGCCTATTATCTTCAACGAAATTATAAAAATGAAAACTTCAAAAAATTAACACAACAAAAACATGATCCAATCAGTAGTCAAGACCATACCTTTAGCAGCAAACCGTCAAGTCCACAGCTTAAAGGGAGAGAAAAAGGTCAGACCCAGAGGCCAAAATAGTATTCGTTAGTGAAAATAAAGCCCTAAAATGAGAAGTATTTGAGCGTTTACTGAAAATAAAACTAAAAAAAGCGATTCGTTGTTTATTTTTCTTGGCTTGACTTCTTCTGATTGAAAAAACATACGAAGGGAATAAAGCTGTTTCTGTTTGCGTGAATAGTAATATGGTTAGATTTTCCGTAATGAAACATAACGGGGCTGTTTTTCTCACGAGTGTCATCAAAGGTGATCTTCATCCGAGGATGAAGTTAATGGTATTTTAATTGGTCCCTATATTATTAAAAATTTATTACTTTGGTACTCTCATTATTTTTTGTCTTGAAGTCGTGCCTTATTTAACTAGCCAAAGTCAAAAGATTTCAATTTTTCTTCTTTAAATATGATTAAAAGTCTTTATTAAAGGTTTTTAATGCTATGTGATGGAAATATTAAATTCTTATTGATTACATAAGTGACGAGTTGAGGGATGAATTGGAAGAAAACTAGTACAGGTATCAAGTTAAAACACAATTGAAAGTAAAGTAATCAAATACACAGTAACTATCCAAGTTTGTTTGTTTTCCGTTTGCATTAGGCTGATTAGGTTACCGTAGGATACCACAACAAACCTACGAACGGTGATGATCTCGGTCCAGTCTACTAAGGTTAGCAGACATTGGTGCTTGGATGGCAGCCCCCATACCAACCCATGTAAAATCTTTAGCTTTGCTTTGAATGTGTGGAATATAATGAGATCCATAGATGCTAAAATCTGATTCAAAAAATGCCTAATATGATACGATGTGATCATTAGCTCTGATTGATTTGGATTTAAAAAAAAAAATTGAAATCTAAATTAAATATAGTATAATATAGCATAATTGGAGTAATGGAGATTTAATCCTAATGTTTTTGGCTTAATTATGGTCGTTCTAACCCAAAAGCTCAAATTGGTCAAATTTTCTCTTTTGGATCAAACTTTCAACTCCCAACAACCGACCCTCGTAGCATATGACACTTTGTTAGGGTTTATCTCAGTATACAATAATACATTTTTGGAGTTTTATGCTTTGTTGAAATTGACAGTTGTAAAAAAAGACAAACGATAACAAAGTAGATTTAAAAAAAAAAAACATAATTGGTCAACGATTTGGAACAATTTAAAGATATCAAGAAGAAGCAGAAGAAGAAGATTGTGAATCTGAGCCCTTAGATTTCAGACTTTAAAATAGTTGTGTTTTTGGTGACAAGTATAGTAAAAGGTAGATTCCAGAAGTAAAAAGGCTAAGGAGCTCAACGGAAGTGAATCATTTGCGTGGTCCTATAGCCAAGCACTCATGGTGTGTGCGCGTTCTTTAAACTAAAGAGAAGGGAAAAAGACAAATGTTTAGCAATGAGCATGGATAAGCATTATTTGGTTAAAACTGAAAAATTAAATTAGATCGAATCGAATTAGTAATTTTAGTTAGGTTTTTTTAAAAAAATTAAAACTGAAAATCGAAATTATTTCAATTCGTTTTTTTTTTTCAAATTTGGTTTTCACCGAAAACCAAATCAGTATTAAAAAAAAAAACACACACGCACGCTCAATCTCCTTTTCTTTTAAGTAAAAGAGGCACCTATGAGTTTAACCAAAAGAACAATAACTTTAATGATTTTTTTTCTACTTAAAATAAACATATTTATCCATTAATTATTTATTGAAATAATAAAATAATTGATTATATTATATTGACTCACAAACAAATAAAAAAAAGATCTTAATAAAGTAATTCTTTATAAATACACAAGTTTATGTGTAGGTGAATCATATGGAAAAGAAATTGTCTCCTTGTATTAAAATTGGCACAAAAATATCCCCTAAAAAAAATTGACCGCTACTATAATAGTATTAATAACAATTAACAATAATAATTTTTTCACTCTTTTTATGCTTACACAAAACATAAATTAAAAATTAAATTTTTCATATTATCCATTCAACAATAAAATATGTACAAAATAAAGAAATTAAAATAAAAAAATCAATTGTAGCATGATTAAAAAAAATAATGAGAAACCCAACCAATATAATTTATAATATAAATATAAACAAATTTAATATAAAAAAATAATAATAATCTTACACAATTTTCTTATAAAATCAAATGTGAAATATACAATATTTGATTATGTTGTGGCTCAATAAATGGAGAAAGATTTTTAGAAGAAAAATATGAAAAAATAAAAATAAAAAATCGGTTTTTAACCAAAAACTGAAAAACGGAACTTGATTTTGATTCGGTTTCGATTTTTGTTTTAGTCAACTCGATTAAAAAAAAATATCAAAATTAAATCAAAAAATAGAATAATCACCCCTAACAATGAGCAGCAGCATATAATAAAAATGGTTTTTTATTTTATTGCTCTTTTTTATTAAAACAAAAACGACGTTGATTGTGTTGTTCAAGCCTAAGGACACAAGAGAGGGCTCTCTTACGTTGTTAAGATAAAGAAATCCCCAAAGCAGAATTGCAATATACAGAACCACACGTGGGGTGTGCCTATCCATTTGCCTAGACTCCTTTCCTTTTCCCCTCCACTTGCTCTATCTTTATATACATATATAAGGCTGGAAATTAATTTCATTGAGTTGACCTAGAGCCACACCTGTTTGAATGCAATTTTCATCATTTATTTTTTCTTATTTTAAATCAAAATTAAATTCCTATGAGTCGGATTATTATACAGATCAATATCTATATCGAAATTTCATGAGAAATTTTTTTCACGACTTTTCTTCAAACTCAAACTCTAAATAACAAACTTACTGGCTGCTCAACATCTTAAAGAGTTATTTTTTCATAGTAGCGGTTTAATAAGAAAGGCTTTTGAACAGTTCCTATAGTTTAGACTGGGGTTTAAATACAAATATCAAATACCAATTCCTGTGGTGAAGAAGGACATAGGACACCTATAATCATTTGGTATTGGTGCAAACTGCATGCCTTATAGCATTTTGCGCTCACCTGTTTTTTATGTTTCATATTAATATTAATTCTCTCCTTAAAACTAGTTAATTAATATGCCTTCCAGTTCATAGACCCTTTTGAAATGACAGGTAGGAAAATACAATTCAACTTCCATTAGCCATGTTGGGTCAGTATTTGAAATTCCATCCGTTTGTGCAGGAAGATTTGGATGCATCGCTCAGAACTAGTTTTAAATGTTTTTTCCATTAAGAAGACCACAAAAAAAAAAAAAAAAACACTTGTTAAATGAAAGCATGCCTATCAATTACGACTGTGATAAAGGCAGATATTCGTGGAATAGATGTTAGAGACTGTCGAGTGCCAAAAAAAAAAAAAAAATTCTATTTTAACCCTACTGTATATATATATATAAAAGTTGATCACACTTTTCTTTTTTTAAAAAAAAATAACAAACTAAAAGTTATAGATTCTGTATTTTAAACTCAAGATAGTTATATTATCCATTACATACAAAAGCTAACATATTTAAAGTTTATTCAAGCTATAACTCAAAATAATTATATTATTCATTACCCACAAAAGTTAATATATTTACAGTTTATTCAGATTATATATTTTTCTTCGTACGTTAACTTAATTGTCAAAACATCCTTCATCTCTAAAAGCAAAAAACTTTATTTTGTTAGTACTCATTATTAAATCTATATTCATTACGTTTGAACCACTGCATCGATCAGTTTGAATTATAAATCACCTCATCTATAATCATAATCTAAGGATCACGGTATCGTTGAAAATAAAATATATCCAAACCTCTTAAACCATTAGAAAAAAATAAAAATCATCTGTGGATACATTTTTCAGTTTAATTAACCTCTGAATTAAATATTAGATATTTAATTAATTTTTTTATTAATTAAATTAGATTTCCATCAATTTGTAGTGTTAAGTTCTACCATCCGACACACGCATGACACCAAAATTCTCTCTCCCCGAAATTAATCCAAATAAAAAAGATATGAAAAATATAACAGTACATGACGC